TAAAGGGTTTGGATGGGGTTCGCAGTGTGTTTGGAGGTTTGTGGTGTATTTGCATGTATTTTTTAACCAAAAAAAAATCAACATTTTAACCAAAAAATAGGTTCTTATGAATGTTTAATTTTCTTATTGATATACCAAGTGCGTCAATTACAATTGAATTGTTTGGTTTTCTACAGTGTGTTTTGGGAGGTTTGTGGGATTTAGCAATACCATTTAATCCTAGCATAATTACCCTACCCTCACAATTACACGCCATTTTAATTCTTAGCATAATTGCCATGTTTACATAACTATGTATATATAGTATCTCAGTTTACATTATTTAGTATAGTTTTAGGCACTTAAATTTAGTTGGCGGGGAGTAAAAACCAAGTATGCAATTTTGCTTAAATAAATGTATTCCTAATTATTCAGTTTACTTTAAAAACAATATTTGATGAACAAATACTTTTTGAAATAACTCTAAGCAGAACATTTATTGCTAAGAATTTGTGAGAAAGTAAGCGTCTCCCTTTTCCTGTATACATGTACTTATGATTCAAACACACAATTTTTACCCAATTGACCCATATGCGTTAACTACTGTTTATTTGGACTGTTTATAACAAGTGCTGTAAAGTTATTTCATTTGATACATAACAGAAGTGAATTTTGTGGTTATCTATGAGTTGCATATTTTGGTAGTTGAAGTACTGTTACATGTATGTCATTCCTCTACTTTGTTAGTGGAATAACGTTTTTAAAACTTATTTCTACTATCAAAAAATGTAATTCAATGGCCATTGTTTTCCGATAATCTCTCAGCACATTATTTGCATCTATTGTGTAACTGTATTTGTTATTAATTCAATTCTTGCTTATTATTACAGTATTTAAATATCTTAAGATTTAAATCATTTTAAATCATAAGATCATTTCTATTACTGAATTTTTTCATTAGGGCCATTTTTACCTACTTGTCATTTGGGGCGATTTTTACCGGGGCCATTTTTACCGGAGCCATTTTTGCCAGGGCAATTTTTTCCTGGGCCATTTTTATCGGGCCATTTTTACCTACATTCGGTAGGCACTGGTAAGGATAATATAGGATTTTTAAAGTACACAATATAAATCTAAGAGTTAAACAGCACTATGTTGATACTGTATGCAGATAACCCAAATAAAAACAGCTACAGTACTTACAGGTAAGACGAGACTTTTTTTACACCTTGTTTAGCGAACCGGCCGAATGCAAATATTTAGGATTTCGAATAAAAAAAAAATTTTATTTTTGGCCAATTAGCGCTGCGACAAAATGTAAAATTTCAGAAAAACCATAAAAGTTTTTCTTTATTTTTATTACACCCTCTGCTGCCTTGAAATTTCCAAAGATAAAATATGTATATTTCTTCCTAATTATATAAATTTGAAGCATTTAACCATCCTATTTTACTGTATATTCACCAATAAAATTTTATTTTTATTTTCTCCTCATCTCGATGTTTTTGGCAAAACTATTTGCTAAATAAGAAAACAAAATTTTATTTTTACTTTTATTCCGCCCTCTTCCGATGATATTTGAAAAAAGTAAGTACACAAAACAAGGAATAAAAAAAGTTTCACATTAACAAAGTTATTAACCTATAGCAATAATACAATACAAATTCAATTGTGGACCTACAGTAAGATAATAATGCCATATAATAAAATTTTAAAATATTATAAATATGTGATAATTGAAAGCAAAAAAGGAGTAATGCCCCAAAATTTGAAATTGATGAAACTTCTATATGACTTGGAATTGGCAAGTCAAATTTTGGCTGTGTTCATTAGATTGTATTGATGCATATATGTGAGTTTCAAGTAAATCTGAGACTGTAATAAGTTATTCCATATATTTAATGTAGTTTTTTTTTGTAAAATTTAGTTTGAAATTCTAAATCATATATGAACACTACAGAGAGAGAATTAGAACACAGGTTTTAGACACACCTTTTTTTCTTCGGATATACGTGTTTGGTTGTATACAATAGAGTTTATCATGTTATAATGGTTCTGCTTTGCAAGATGTTTAAATACATCCAATACCGATCTACTTCCACATTTACCAACACGGTTGAAAATTATCCGTTGACCCTAAAGAGTAAAAAAAAAGTGACATCATTTAAACTTTCATGTCATGGCATTGAGATTGAGGGTTCGAATCTCAAATTGTCAATTTTGATCATGTTTTTGATCACTTTATACATTTTTCTCTCCAGGCAATAGCATTCAAAATTTCATGTCATGGTCAAGTACAGTCATAGGTGAAGTTGGCAGAAGCGGTTGATTTGATTCAAGTCCATTTGCTATATTCTTGTTCAAACCACTTTTAACTATTATTAGGACCCTACTGTATGTGTGAAATTTTGCCGAACAATTACAAATATTATTTCCCAAGGAGAAGAGATTACATGGTATATATATTTCCATTAGCCGTTAAAGTACAGTATTATTATAAAGTCCCATGTACCCTACCTGTATTGTTAGAAGATAACAATGCTACCAGTTAACAAAAGATTTGATCTTATTACCAATATATTGTACTTTATGCCTATTGAATGCATCTGCCAGTTACTGGATGCAAGAGTTCAGAATGAGAACAAATTTCCAACGTCGGCGATAGGATTTATAACCCACGCTTACAGTCAATTTATTTTTGGACACAGGTCATGCCCTAACTGATTAATTCAAAAATATCAATATATCAATCAATACCATGTATACTTGCTTATAAGGCGACCCGCAAATATTTTTGGATGATTTTGAAACGGAACCAAATGCAGTTCTAATCTTCGAAATAAATACCATTTTATGAGACTTTAAGTGTTCATCAAAATCTTATTTCCTCCTATTTAAAATTGCGTTCAATCTTATAAATCTTATCTAGTAGCACCATTGCAGTTAGTAAATTTGTGTGTTGTTACGGACGATACACACATAAGACGAACATTCACGCTAACATTCAATACAGCAGGTTCATTGCAGTAGTAAATTTGCATGTTACGCACAATCTGCGCATAAGACAATTAAAAAATCTAAAATTTGTATGTCGTGTATACAGTATTGGACGACCCCCTTGTTTTTCGCTCGTAATTTGCTATAGCCTCATATTATATGCGAGTATATAGGGTAGATATAAGACGAAAAATATTAACATTTTTTAAAGCCAGTTTCACATACCCACCCTTCTTGTAAATTAAAAATGTTGGGGCCCCATGACAAAATTTACTGTTGGCTACTTGAAAAAAAAAAAACATTAATTCTTCGATGGAAAATATATAATGGTAATCTGAAAGACTGTTGTCAAAGCCTAATAGTAATTATAAGAGGTGGAAATCTAAATGGCAAAATACATTACAAAGATTTGTTTTAGTTATTTTATCCTAGTCTGTTAAATACCAAATAGTGAATACCTTCACCAAAGAATCACTTCAAATCCCATACGTGAAACAATGGAGGTATAGTAAAATTAACAATTTTATTTGACCTTTACAGTTTCTTCTTATCACCTGTTTCATCAATCCAGCCAAGATGATTAAATATTCATAGTATTTTTAATATGCTTTGTATTAACCATTGAGATTTACATTGATTCAATGAATAATATTGTATTTCAATTGTATTATATATAGTTCTAAATTTACAAGTAAAAATACAAAATAATATGATTAATAATTTTTTTTTATTCAGTTTTAGATACTAGGGCCAAGAATATGCCAAATAGTGAATTTAATTACTCTTCAAAGTCGCAAATCCCATCAGAAGACAAACATAGGCCTACACACAAGATGCTGTCTGTACATAGACAATCCGAACATTCAATAACAGAATACCAGCCAATATACCAGCCATGCAGTTCTTATTTTTGTGGTATTTCAGTGATGCTGTGGACTGGATGCAACACCCCAATGGAAATAAGCCAGGGTTTTATCAGTAAATAATGTATCTTGATCAAATAAATAAAATTATATCAAAATCGATTGAATTTTATTGAGTTGGTCATAGATTAAGTCAATTGAATCGAGGCCCCATTTCCACCTGCTAGAGCAGCAGCCTTTTTTTAAATAATATCTAATTAGATTATATAAATGAATACTCCCAATCTAGAGACGAAAAACAGGCAAAAACAAGTGCAAATCTCCCAGTAGTCATCCATCCATCACCACTCCGTCGTGTTCCCAAACCTCTACCTAGGCAGCTCGAACAATGAACGCGATAATATATTTGCCCTGTCACAGACGAACAGTTTCTCAGAGGCGGCAATCGGGACAGAGACCACCTAAAGATATATGCAGGCCTGACAAGCAATAAATGAAAAAAGGGGAAAACTGTTAACCCTTTCCAGTCATATGGCGTCGCGACGACGCCCTCTTCGACCATACTTTATAGCGAGGGGCCTTGTACATAAGCCCTGTATAGCTTTCATGATAATTATCTTATAGCTAGGCTGCCCTCTATAGGATTTTTTTAGTGTGATGTAGGAGTATTTCTGTAGAGGGCCTCCTGTATTTAAACCAAATAAAATGCCTGCGCCCAGTAAAAACCCGACATTTAGAAGTGTAGATGATGTAATTTCCCAGCTTTGGTACAGCCTCAGGCAATGGTAATGGAGCAGACTGGAAAGGGTTAAATTGTCAAAAAAAGTATGGTCCCTCACCAGTTCATTCTGCCAGTTTCCATATAATGGCAGAGAATCAACCATGTCCTTAGTTTCATTCCAATCATACAACCATTTCTTTTTGCTGAGCGCTTTCTTTTCAGTTGGCTTATTCCCATCTGGAAATGTTATTCCGGTTAAGGTGGCCTTTTTGTTCTGTTGCACTAACTCTTCTTTCACTTTTAAAGCATTATTTTTCACAGGATTGTTAACAGTGACATCTTGAGTAGCAACTTCTTCATCTTTTTCAAAAATGTTATTTTTTTCTTGAAATCCCATGATTTTCCGTTCTTAAATAACATAAAAAGTAAAAGTATGATAAATTAATTTTTTTTTAAATAACGTATATTTATTTGAACTCACCGCTTTCAATAAACTCCCTCATAAAGCCCCAGGAATAAATACATTATACTGTTGTAGGCCTATATTGCAATAAGTTACTATCATCATAGTATATAGCCTATTCTGCTTTGCATTTACATTAGGTGCATACACGAAATAAAATAAACATCAAAATCAATAGGGATGAAAAGTAGTACAATTTTAAGAATGATTGTTGAAGAAAGTAACCAATCAAAATCCAAATAAACTTTGTATGTTAATATACAATTCATGCATGAACTCTCTTTGTACATATTAATAGCCTAGGATAGTCGAACAGGCAATGCTAATTAGTAATTCAAAAATGTGATTATATATACAATAAAGAAGAACCTAATGAAATAAGATAGGCTGAATTAAAACAGGACTAGCCTGACTGCCCTTGACCTACAATAGTAGGCCACTTTAGAACAAGGTCTGAAGAAACACAGAAAATCTGTTCTTACCGTCTAAATGTCGCCAGTATTCTTTCCAATCTACCTTTGGTTTTCTTGAAACTAAACTAGAACTGTCAATATTATTATTATTCGGTTCATTTCCAGAACCAAAAATTCGTTTTCCTAAGGCTACTACTCCCCTTGCTTCTGTATGTCCTCGAAAGATTGTCCCAGTAGTTTTACTGTCCAAGTATACATAACATATAATCAGTACAAAAGTGACGAAAAATAAAGCGAAAAATATTTTCTTGCTTGCCATTCTCCTGCTCTAAAAACCGGTTACAAGATAGAAACTTCGAAAGCAATACTTATGACATAGTAGCCATGTGGCTTGTTTGGTTTTTTTTTAAATGTCTGTAAAAACCTTTGACACGTTGTGATTTTAGCAGGCTCAGTCTTAAACAGGAAGAACTTACTTCAGTTCGACTTCAAGCAGTTTCAGCGCTTCACGCCGTGTGATTTTAAGCACGCACTGCTGGGTTTTGACTGGCTAAGCCAGCCAGCCAGCCAGCGCTCGCTAACCTCTGTCGGGAACAGGTCAAAACTGCAAAAAAACTAAACGGCAATAAAGTCAAAACGGCAAGACCAAAACGGCAATAAGTCAAAACGGCAATAAACCAAAACGGCAACACTAAGAATGACATACTGTATGGTAATTTTGGCAAAATGGCTAAATAAAAGACTACTCTAGGCTACTGGCTTAGGCCTAAAGAGTCTAAGACGAGGGTGCAGACTAATCATTAGGGCTTATTCTTATAGAATAAAAAAATAAAAAAAACGAAGAATTTAGTATGCACTTGTATTTACGACGTTGTCTTATAATTCAATAGAAATGATCCATAACGTACACAGAGGCTTGATGATGAATGGCGAAGTCGTTGTTGTAATGATAACGGGCCCGCTTGCATGACGTTTTCAGTTGACCATAAACAGTAGGCAACACAGTTAATAATTCAATCACTTAATCAACATAGTTTGCTTAAAACGCCTGTTTTTAATTAAAATGTTTTTGAAAGTAACATTACATGGGCGCTACCTTAAAAAACCCCCTCATGATTTCGCACCTTTATTCATAGAACTTAAAGGTGCTATTAACTCGTGTTTGAGTCCTTCGGTTTGATGGTTTTATTTTAACTACTGTTACATAACAACATTAAAAAGTACTCAAATAAAATTAACAGACGTACGGTACCAAATTTTGATTCAATATTTATTTAGTATCAGTTCAGTTTATTTCTCATCAAAACAATGTACAAAACAGATAAAATTCGCACAATAAGGCAGGACAAAAAATATTACCGTAAATAAAAGATAAGGATGGTCATAAGGTTTTCTGTAAGAAGTAAAAATTCGCAAAATAAGGTGATTTTAGGTGATTTTTAATTACTTGACCGTGATTTGAAACCAGTGTCAGTATAATCTTAGGTAAGCATGTGGTTAACATAAGCAAGAATTTAGTCCAATGAAACTGTTTATCATCTTGATACCTTCCGACGAAAATTTACCCTACCAGCGTCACCACGGCGTCCCCACCGATCGATCTAACGTGACGTTGTTATGTGGTTTTATAGATTATTGAGAATGGTAATATCACCGAAAAAATAGATAAAATAACAGTTGAATGACCAACAAGGACAACTGAAGACAATAGTTCGTCATTATTTAGTATAACTTTATATTATTCGAGAAAATCAATCTCAAACTCGAGTTTGCCGTCCCCGGCGTTGTGAGTGACGTCGTATGATTTGTGTGCGATTTTTACCAATTAACCCCTAAGTAAAAAATATTTGAGCCATGTAGTACCTTGCAAATCAACTAAAAAACCGGTAGTTTGTTGATTGTTTATTGGTAGCGTCCCTTCGTTGCCAAAAATAGTTTTTTATCACTTGCGTCCCCGTTGATATCGTGAGGGCATGGTGAAGGCTGGTTACGATTTGGTGGCACATCGATTGAGTATTTCCATTCATCTGGCCATAAGTCAGTGGAATCTGGTGTCTTGAAATGGGGGGGGGGCTGTTGTGAAAAGTGGGGGTGCTTGATGATCAGTTGAGGGGCGCTTCGCAAAATAAGATGATTTTAGGTGATTTTTAACTACCGGTACTTCACCGTGATTTGAAAAACTGTCAGTATACTCTTAGGTAAGCATGTGGTTAACATAAGCAAGAATTTAGTCCAATGAAACTGTTTATCATCTTGATACTTTTCGACGAAAATTGACCCTACAGGCGTCACCACGGCGTCACCACCGATCGATCTAACGTGACGTTGTTATGTGGGTGTTTTATAGATTATTGAGAATGGTAATATCACCGATAAAAAAGATAAAATGACAGTTGAATGACCAACAAAGACAACTGAAGACAATAGTTCGTCATTAGAAGTTTAGTATAACTTTATTCTAAACTAAATTAATCTCAATCGAGTTGCCGCCCCCGGCGTTGTCAGTGACGTCCTATGATTGTGTGCGATTTTTACCAATTAACCCCTAAAGTAAAAAATATTTCAGCTATGTAGTACCTTGCAAATCAATCCAAAAACCCGGTAGTTTGTTGATTGTTTATTGGTAGCGTCCCTTCGCTGCCAAAAAGTTTGGCAG